TGTGCTAATGATCCATTGTTAGGCTGATGGTCCTTCTTGACCATGTGAGCAGCTGGTTTTGGTTGTCAGCAGCAAACTGGTTGATCCACTCTGAGAAGGTGCTATTTAAGAGACTGAGCTGAATACAGCACCTCAGACTGAGGAAGTCTTTTGGATGAAAGACAAAACGTTTCTACATTTTTTTGTTTGTTGTTGCTCTGCTTTGTTTTGTTTTTTGAATGTCCAGAGGACCAGATTTAACTTTTTTAGATTTTTCTACCTGGATTATTGAGCATGCATCAGGATTTTCCAATACAAAGAAACCATCCAGAGGACCTGACTTAACTTTTGGATTTTTTAAAATCTGGATTACTGAGCATGAACTTTAATCTATGAGAACACTCGTCAAAACACCCATAAGTAAATGCATCAAAACAGCTGTCCGAACACTCAATAGAACTACCCTCAGAATACACATCAGACCGGCCACATCACTCATTACAACACAAGTCAAAAATAATTGGTCAAACAGAAGAACAGAATATTCATCAGCTCAGATGTATCCTTGCGGCAGAAAGTCCTGTAGGGATGCTCCAGGTGTTTTGTGGGAGCTCTGTGAGAATCTGATTACAGTCGTCCCTCGCTATATCATAGTTCACTTCTTGTGACTTCACTGTATCGTGGATTTTTTAAGCCTGGATGTTTATATTGTGTGTACTGTGCATGCTGTGCAGTACTATACATTCATCTCATCGTCATCATCTTCATCGCCATTGCCAAAGTGTTTAAGAGCATATGAAATGTTTATAAGGGAGTGGGAAAGGTTTGCAAAATCTTAAACCAAGATAAACAATAGAATAAATATAACGCCGCTGCTTCGCAGATTTTAATCTACCACAGGGGTGTCTGGAACGTAACCCCCGTGATACGTGAGGGATCACTGTATATTATATTTTAAATAGTTCTTAGTCTGTCCATTTGCATCAGCTACATGTTCAAAGAGTTATCAGAATTGTAGTGTCCACAGAACCATTTCTGGAAAAATGTTGCATAGCTGGATAAAGAAAAAAACAACAACAACCTTGATCAAGGCTTGCCAAGGAAGGGTGCACCATAAGATAACTGAACCCAAGTCCTCAGAGAAGCTAGATGCTCATAAAGAGCTGCTACAGTGCATCGTTCATCTCCAGTATTATACATACCTTGGTAATGTAGATGAAAGGACTGGAAGCTGGCTACGTGTAAGCAATTGGGGTATGTTGTGGAGACTGTCAGCCAACTTGGTTCTCCTGCTGAGGAAGTCCTGCTGCAGAAAAGAAAGAGGCCACAGCAGCTGTTCCTGGCAGAAAGAAAAGTCATCTTCCCCAAACAGGATTTTCAAAGCTGCATACTGGGACATCTTGATACTACCAAGAACGGTCCCCGATAAAACAGTTGGTTTTGTTCTCTTTCTTCAGCTTCCTCAGATTGAATCTTCACTTCGTTTGGACATCCTGAACAGCAGTCCTTTTTATATTGCAGCTGCTATGCTGGAACTCTCCCGTGATGTATTTAAAGGCTGTGAGCTCACTGCAGTGTGTTGTCAGTGCCCGTGAGTGGGCAGGAATGCCCTGCTGCTCATCAAAAAGCTAAAAGAAGCCTGTTGGTCATGTCCTATTTTCAGCATGTGGCAATGCTCACACTGTATGAGAGGTGTCGTTTTTCTTTGGGGGATCACCCAAACAATCTGTTTTCATCCGTTCTTTGATGTGACAAATTCCCCAACTTTTACAGTTTTTTTTTTTTTTTATCATCTAAATATACACATGGAGGACACTTAAAAATGAATTAGTTGTGTTTAAAAGAACTATAATTATACAATGTATTTAGTTTATTGAATACATTTTTTAAGGATTCAAGGTTCTTTATTTGTCATTCGCACCTCATGTGGTACATGTGGTGGAACTAAATTATGTACACAGGGTCCCAGTTACATCCAACAATAAAATGTAAAATAAAAACAGTAATAAATCTAAGATATGAACTAAGAAAAACATCAACTAAAAATACACTAAGCACTAATAGCATAAAAACTACATCAAACAGCAACATGAACATGAGTCTGTGTGAGCAGGTGAGCACACATGAACACATCAACATGAAACAGATCAGCAGCAACATGAAACAGATCAGCAGCAACATGAAACAGATCAGCAGCAACATGAAACAGATCAGCAGCAACACGATGTGATTTTTCACAGTGATTATTCTGGTTAGATATTCATGAGTCTAACAGCCTCAGGGTAGAAGCTGTTCCTCAGACTAGTGGTTCTACACTTAATGCTCCTCAACCTCCTTCCTGAGGGGAGTGGGGCAAAAAGTGTGTGTGCTGGGTGAGTGGGGTCCTTCATGATGCAGGTTGCCCTCTTCCTGCATCTAGAGGTGTAAATATCTGTGATGGTGGGGAGACTGACTCCAACAGTCTTCTGTGCAGCCTTCACCACTCTCTGCAGAGCTTTTCTTTCTGCAGCTGTGCAGCCTCCATGCCACACGTTGATGCTGGAGCACAGGATGCTCTCCACTGCACACCTGTAGAAGGAGGTGAGGACTGAGCTTCCCAGACCAGCTCGTCTCAGCCGTCTGAGGAAGTAGAGTCTCAGATGAGCTTTCTTGATCAGGCTGGTGGTGGTGTTGCTCCAGCTGAGGTTGTTGTTCAGGTGCACACCCAAGTACTTGTAGCTGGAGACCACTTCCACCGCAGATCCTCTTATGTTCAAGGGGTTGTAGGTGTGTTTGTGCCTTCTGAAGTCCACAATCATCTCTTTTGTCTTCTTCACATTGATGTGAAGGTTATTCTCTCTGCACCAGCTCTCCAGGTGTTCCACCTCTTGCCTGTAGCTGGACTCATCATTGTTTGTGATGCATCCCACCACCGCTGGATCATCTGCAAACTTTACAATGTGACAGCCTGGACAGTTAGGTGCACAGTCATATGTGAGCAGGGTAAACAGGAGGGGGCTCAGCACACATCCCTAAGGGGAGCCAGTGCTGAGGGTTATGGTGGAGGAGGAGAAGTTGTGGATCCTCACTGATTGTGATCTGTTTGTTAAGAAGTCTAGTACCCAGTTGCAAATCGAGGGGCTTAGTCATAGTGTGAGTAGTTTGTCCATCAGGGATTGGGAGATCATGGTGTTGAAGGCGGATGTGAAGTCCACAAAGAGCATACGGACATAGGAGTCCTTCTGCTCCAGGTGGGTAAGAGCAGTGTGGACCACAGTGGGGATGGCGTCCTCTGTTGATCAGTTCTTGCGGTATGCATACTGATGAGGGTCCTCGTTGATGTTAATGGTTGTTTTAATATTATTTAATATTTAATATTATTTAGTATAAAAAAATAGTCTAATGTGTAATAAGACAGCATTGCAAAATATTATTTCCCTTTTTTAATACTGGTACATGTCCTGTTTCCTGTTCCATATTTCAACATATACAACAGTCCCTCATTTGTCGTGGGTGTTTGGGACCACGCCCACCCGCGATAAGTGAAAAACTGTGAAGTAGGGATACAGTAGTTCAAGTCCAAATTCAGTTCAAGTTCAGTAAACTTTGTCATGATATGTGCCAAGCTGTAATCATAATCATCACCTGTTACTCCTAATCTCCCTCCTTAAATAAACAATTTAAATTTAAATAATGTAACATTTTAAATAAACAATCCATGCTGGATTGTTTATTTAAAATATTACATTGTTTAAATTTAAACTGTAGAGAAGAGAAGTGCAGCAGGACATCAAGGTGATGTCACACAGCTTCAGCTCTGCAGCACGAAGCAGAAATGTACTTCTTGGTCAATTACACTGAAACAACTGAACATAGAAGTTCTAAAATAATTAAAAATAACTTTTAACACTTTTATATTTTGTGATTATGATGATTTTACGATGTGACGTACTTTGAGTTTTAAGTTGGAAGACAAAAGTCGTTTGGGGAATCTGGACAGCAAAGGGTTAACTCTTAACAAAGCCGCAGCAGGAGCAATGTGTGTGTGTGTGTGTGTGTGTGGCAGAGAAGGAGATCAGCTGAGCAGCTGCAGGAGGGAGCTTCCCCTGCACTTGTGGGCTTCACACATGGTGCAAAATCATTTAAAATAATTTATTTAAAATAAACAATCCATGTCTCATCCATCAACCAGCCAAATGTGTCATGTCCAATCTTACATTGAAAAACCGCAATATAGCAAATCCGCGAAAAACGAACCGTGAAGAGGCGAGTGACTACTGTACTATATTTCTAACAAATTGTAATAAAAACTCAGAGTAGCAACTCAGAGTAGGAGCTTTTGCAGAACATTTGGAGTTTTAGTGAACGTCTGTTGTCCTTATCTTTTTGTTGTGTCACTCCCTGTTCTGTTCATGCTGAATGATGCAGGATTTAATGATGATGATCAGCACATTCAATTCAATTCAATTCAAAAATACTTTATTAAACCCAAAGGGAAATTATTTGTTGCTGTAACTCGTTATCCTCATTTCATTAAGAGATGTTATAGATGCTGATGGCTGTAGGCAGGAAGGATCTCTTGTAAAGGTCCATCCCACAGTGGATCCTAAGAAACTGGCTGCAGATGCCGTCTGATCCGTCCACCCAGACTCGGCTGGCCTCTCGGTTCCCCCGGGCTGTAGGACCGCCCCAATTCATACATACAGGTACATCTAAAAATTGAATATAGTGAAAAGGTTTAATATTTTTATGTCAATCACTTCAATATTATATAGCTCATGACACATACAGTGAAATGCTTTAATTCTTGTAATTTTGACGATTGTATCTTACAGATAATGAAAACCCAAAACTCGTTGTCTCAGAAAATTTGAATATTGTGATAATGTTCCACATTTGAAACACTGCACAGACTAATCCTACACATGGGCTACAAGCTACTCCTGAACCAAAGACAACATCAGAAGTGTCTTACCTGGGCTGTGGACTTCAGAAAACACAGTGGACCAGCACCAGCAGAGGACATGGACCCAAACCATCACTGACTGGGAAACTTCACACTGGACTTCAAGCAACGTGGATTCTGGATCTATCTACTCTTCTTCCAAACGTTGAGACCTTGATTTCTTAATAACATGGAAAGTTACTTTCATCTGAAAAGAGGACATTGGACCACTGAGCAACAGTCCAGATTTTTTTCCATCTCGTATTTTTCTTGTCAGAAAGAAGAATTGTGTGACTTGTACAGAGAAGAGGGTAAGGACACCAGGTTTGCAGTAGGAGGTGAGTGAGTATTGTCCTGGCGAGTAGTCCAGGAGATCTGTTGGAGAGTTGCATGTCAAACCAGAAGGCTGAATGATGAGGTTTGGCTCCCGGTGTTGTGGGTTTTTTTGTTTTACTTTTTTCATTCAACCTTTATTTACACAGGTTAGTCATATTGAGCCTCGAGGACTCATTTACAAGAGAGACCCGTTGTAACAAAGATTGATGACAACAGTAGACGATCATAAAAAAGCAAATAAATTGAAAGATAAATGGAAGAAAAATATATTAAAAAACAAAACAAATAAGTAAAATAACAAGTAAAATACTAAAAACAGGAACATGTCTGTATTGGTTTTTGCCATGAACTTAGCAGTTGTTTGAAGCCACTCTTTACAGAGGTCAAGGTCATGCTTCAGATCTTTTTGCAAGATATTCCAGGAAACAAGAGCAGAGTAGGAGAAGACCCTTTTGCCTAGTTCAGTCTACACTGAGGGAACACTGCATGTAATAATGTCCTGGAAGTGCATGCTGTAGCTGCTTTGACAACATGACATGTAGGAGGAGATATAAGACCAAGAAGACCAGGACCAATAAGTATTTAGCAGGTTTGTAGGTGATTGCTCCAAGAGAAGTTACTTAGGGTAATGTCAGGAAGAGGCGTGGAAGCATGTGGAAGGAGATAACTCGAAGAGCAGAAACAGGAGTCAGTACTGTTGGGATCACAAAAGAACAAGGTTAGTTAAACTTCTTCACAAGGAAATGTTAACAGGCTCGCTACTAAATACCATAATGCAGTCAATGTTCCAGCGTCGTGGTCTTCTTCTTCTTTATGGAGTTTTATGGCAGTTGGCAAACAACGGAAGATGTGCATTACTGCCACACACTGGTGTGGAGTGTGCATCAAAATGACATGTCTGCAATCATGCTTATGATCTCTTTTCTAATTTCGTGTTTCTAAAAAAATGTATAATAATTGGAATAATTCTCATTTAATTTTATAATATATTTATTATATTAAATGTTTCTTTGATTTTTTCCTAATTATTTTACCATACGTCTTCTGTAATGTTCATATTTTTGACAGACCAAAATGACATGTTCTATTGTTTCCTCTTGTCCACAGTGCTCACATTGACCTGTATCATGTTTCTGAATTTTGTATGTTGTGCTGTTAAGTCCAGTGGGTCCAAATTTGAATATGGGTATTAACCTACAGGTGTGCAGTGGAGAGCATCCTGTGCTCCAGCATCAACATGTGGCATGGAGGCTGCACAGCTGCAGAAAGAAAAGCTTTGCAGAGAGTGGTGAAGGCTGCACAGAAGACTGTTGGAGTCAGCCTCCCCACCATCACAGACATCTACACCTCCAGATACAGGAAGAGGGCCACTTTCATCATGAAAGACCCCACTCACTCAGCACTAGAGCTGTCATTTCTAACCTGAGCCCTATGCCCGACCCCACCCGACTCGAATCAGGGCAGGCCGGGCCATGATATTTTGCTGGATGGGCGGGCCCGGTCGGTGTCAGGCTTTTAGGGTGCATTCACACCAGCCCTGTTGTCCCGAACTCTAGCCCGTTTGCCTAGGAAGTCCGGCTCATTTGGGGAGGTGTGAACTCGCCATCGAACTCTGCCACGGAACAAAAAGGCGAACTCTGGCCCGGTCTAAAACCTAGGTCTCAGTCCGGTAGAAGAAAACTCTAGCGCGGTTCGCGTACAGTGTGAATGTTAGCTGCTCCGCAAGCAGGAAGAGGACTACAACGCAGGGCAAACAAACACACATACCTCTTATACTTACCTCATGTGGAGCTGTCAGCTTGCCTTGTGTGAAAAACAACATTTTCCATGGTCTTCTGCCTCATCTTCCACTCATGCTGAGTCCATTGATGAAAAATGACAAAATATAACTCCTAAAACTGCAAAAAATTGACGCCATTCCATTTTTGTTTTTATTTCCAGAAGAAGTCCTTTTTGGTGTCCTGTTATGTAATCTGTTGCTATGTGCTTGTTCTGTTTGTCCCTGTACAGCACTTTGGTGTGCTTTGTCACTGTTTAAAGTGCTATATAAATAAATTGATATGGTATGGTAAGAAGAAGTGCCTTTTTCAGAGGTTTTTGTGTCGTTTCTTTCAGTAGTTCTTGGTGCAGCGTCACCACAGGCGAGCGGGGGAAGAGGTTGGCTCGACTGCACAGTGCAGTGTGAATGCAAACACAATAGCTCAAATGTAAACAAAATGCTATGATATTGGTCCCCAACCAAACCAGGTCTACCGGACTATCTGAGTCAGGATCAGCTGTGATCCAATTATATGATAATGTGGCCTGCCATAATTTCACTAGCCGCATGCACGCGGCCATTTCACCGTGAGCTGACCGGCCCTGAAAGAGATAAAAAGTTCAGTTAAGCTTCAGAAGGGACTGTAATGCCAGGAAGCAATCCATCGTCCAAATGGACGTTCATCCTGCCACTGCACTCAGTGGACGCGCACGGCCGACGACCTTAAACAGGTGAGATCTCAAAGCAGACATGTCAGAGCAAGGTCCGTGTCTGAAAAAAAATAAGAATGCAGGCAGAAACAGGGTTTAAATGCTCTTTTATGGCCATGAAAGGACAAACACCTCGTCAGCTACGAATCTTCTACCGCTTTTATTCAGCCGTGCCGACCGTTAATAACTAATTAAAAATGTTGGGGTTTTTCCGGGTAATTACTGTTAATCTGTCAGGTCGGGTGGGGTTCGGACCACTTCATCTAACAGCTCCAAACAAGTCACTGAGTGGACCAGAACTGACGATGATGATGTCTAACTTTCTCCCGAAAACCTCCACACTGAAGGCTCCAGCATATTCGGGCGTACTTCAGTTCACGGAGGTCCATGGGTACCGGATTAGACTCAAAGTGGATGCCCGCAGAGCATGTCCATGCAAAGATCAATTTTTACGACCGCGTACGCGACTCGGTGTTGCACAATAAACTGCTTGGCGACAGACTGTTTTGTATGTAAAATCAATGTATTAAATTCCCCTTCTTCATCCCTGGTCTGGTTTACTGGCCTTTTCTTTAGTTTTTTTTCCAAGAGGCAAGTGATCTGTTCCTCCTTATCTGTTGACACCATGACTGAAATTGTGAGAAATGAAGGCATTTGTTACGAGCAAATTAAAATCAGACCTGGTGTGGCTGCAGGAGGGTCTGGAGATTTCCTGGTGGGCTGGTCTGATGTGTGGGCTGCAGGGCCAGTGCTCCGTGTTTTTTTTTTTTTTTTTAGAACTTTTTATTAACAGCATATAAACACAGAACACCGCTGCCGCTTGCTGCCAGCTCTCGTTTTTTTGCGACTTGTCAATCAATCCAGTAGGTGTGTCAGCAATTGACCAATCAGCGAACTGAATTTGTCCTGAAGGTAAACGCCCCTTGCCTGCGGAGCTGGCTGCAGCCGCTCAGGGTGGACGCTTGAGAATGAAGTCTCAACCTTTGGATCGCAGGCCCACCTCTCTAACCTCTGCGCCACCACTCCCCCACAATGTGAATGACAATAAAGAACCTTGGATCTTTCTTCTCTTCTGTTCCTCCCTCCTGTTCTCATTTCTCCCACTTGGAATGGACAGCTTTACTCTGTTATTATCCCACGTCTGCGTCGCTGTGCTCTCTGCACTTGTTTGCCCTTCACACAGACTCACATTTCATGCAGCGTACCATTAATCCCGCCCACTCCCATCTGACTGGGCAAAATAAAATGCTTCATCCAATACAAAACAAAACTGAACAAGACTGACACTTATTACAACTGAAAGAGTAGGTTGTGGAAAGTGCCACATGGCATGTACAAACTTTTATGTGACATTCAAGGAACGTAGTAAAAATGACAACTGCCTGTTTCCGTCTGCTTAAACTAGATTTTCCTGACCAAATATGAACGGTTTTCAAAATTATACATTTTTAAATGACAAGGGAGTTTTTTTTATCTTTCATATTTATTCCACTTTTATCAATTAGACATTGTTTTTTAAAACTCACTTAAATTATATTACTATGAACTTAGTTTAACACTTAGTTTGTACATTATAACACAGTTCAAACTGGGCTACATTAGCATGAGTTGTCTAAAATTTTATAGTGTGACTGGGCCTTTAGGAAGTTTGATATTCTGGCTGCATGGTACAATGATCACTAAGATCATTTGCAAAAAACAATCGTATCAGTATCTGTATGAGGGACTTTCGTTAAAATAAATAAGTACACTGAAATGCTTAAAATTACTGTAAGAAACTTGTCATTTTCAAAGGATTTTTTTATTTGAAAAAAAAAAATCTTGCTCAAAAGTGAGTGCAGGTTACTCTCTTCTTTGGTGAAGTCACACAGAAAACAAAATTTATTAGTGAAAGAAACGAGTTTAAAACAAATAATGCATACAACTCGAGGTAATATAACTAAACAACTACACATCCTGAAAAAAGCTAATACTAATAAGGCAAATCACAAAAACTCCATGGTGCCTTGAAGCTCGATTAATAAACTCACCTCATAGCAAAGCATACATTACTCAAACAAGTTATTAAATGGCACAAGGCCAGTGATATGCTCTTTTGTGTGTGAATGTAGTTAATAAAATGCTACATATGTGTATATTTTCATTAATAGGTTAATATAAAACACATTGTAAAACACTTGGTAGAGTAGGTAGGTTAATAAAGTGTAGACTAGATATATTTGCTATAACCAATCTGCCTCTATAAACATGTAACTCAAGGACATCTCTGAGGTTATCAAGGCTGTTAAGCTATTACGTACAGCAGCACACAAAAATCACTTCCAATCCTCAAACTTCATGATTCCCTCAAAACCATGGTAGGTAAAGGTCTCTAGGTTGGGGCTACAAGTCTCCTGAGAAAGGCAAGCCATCCTGTTGTTCTCACAGCTGTCCTCAGAGCCAGGGCCAAAGTATGCTGCATCTGCAGAGTTTATGGATGGGTCCTCATCAAAGTAGTTGTGTGGCCGCAACAGGACCCCACCACCATTGCCAACTGTTACAGTGTTAGGGATGTCCTCAGCATGAGGGATATGAAGGAAACCAGTTGTCACCCATGCAACAAGGTCCTGCAGACACATAAATACTTTTAGACAACTTATAAGAAGTTTGCTTTCTTTGTGAGTTTACATTATATAAATATTTCAGCATGCAGATCACATCAAAACATACTTCATCTTCAATACTTTCGTTGTCTGCAATGTACTTGCTGAAGTCAACAGCTGGAGCCCAAATGTCATTTTGATTGTAAAGACTACTACTGGTTTGCTCCAAGTCCTTGTGCTTGGTGATGGCAACTTTATACCTGGTAGAAGACAGAAAGGGTGCAGTTATACATTGCTCTGTATGGCATGCAGAACCATGCTTGGGGAGCTTAAACTTTGTTACCGTTACTCAAGAAATGTTACCCAATGCAAAACAACAGTGACGTTTACTGGTTGTCTTTAAACAGTAAACAGTCTAAAATTAGTCATTGATTTAACATGCGGTAAACAATTCATCCATTCATCCATCCATTGTCTTGCGTTTGTTCTGGAGTTGGGTCATGAAGGCAGCAGCTTAAGCAGGGATGCCCAGACATCTCTTTCCCCAGCCACCTCCTCTAGCTCGTCAACAAAACTCCAAGATACTTGAACTCCTCCACTTGAGGCAAAACCTCCAGTGGTGGTTTCTGATATGGGCGATATAGGCAGCTGCCCAGGGTTGCATCTCCTCAAGAGCGGCACAAGTGCCTGGCCCCACCCCCCTTCCCCTTAAAAATTAAAACACATTATTTCACATAGATTGTCTAGTCTACATTTCGGTTTCCTATCACCCACTTGCGGGGAGTGGGTGTAGCTTCTGCTGAGGTCTGAAACGGGTTGTGAAAGAAGAAGAAGGGGAGGGCAATTTTCTCGTCTCCTTTGCTGGGCCAGGGCTGCACCTAATAGAATTAGTTGGATAAATAAACCACACCATTGATTGCTCCCAAACAAGGCACATGTCATTCATAATATTGTGAATATAGCCAATAGCTCGCAGCTTATTTGTGTGCAATCACAGAAAAAAAATACAAAAACAACTCTGCACACCAAGAAAGGTGAATTACTTTAGGCCCAAGTTGTTTTGACTCATGTCGGGGGAGTGCCAATTACACACATGGAATATGGACAAGAACATGTCAAAGCCACCATGTGCCCAGTTTAAGAAAAAGAGGAAAGAAGAAGAGGAGAAACGAGCAAAAGATTAAGGTATGCAGCTGTGTCATCTCTTGAAACATGAAAGGTGTTATGTTATGTAGGCTATAGCCTGTTTCAAGATAGACTAACTATTAATTAGTTTCAAAGGATGTTAAAGGGTCACTGAGCTCCTTTATGTTGTCTGTCTATATGAGTCTTTGGAATCACTTTGTCTTGTATGTCATCTAGGACCAGTCTGCCTTTGGAGGCCCTATCAGATGTAATTCACCACTTGCTCTTGTTGAGGGCAGATGCCTTTCCCCTCCTCTCCCTCCTCCGCTTTGCTTTACTGCTCTGTCCTGTCTGTGAAACTGCTTCTGAGCCTCTCTCTATATCTTCTGAACTATAATGTTATGGATCTGGTCAGTTGGTCTCTCAACGCAATCAACAATTTTTTTTAATGATGAGTCACGCTTCAGGCGAGCTGAACTGACTGGACGACACATATGCAGCTGGACATGTCAATGGGGGAAGTGGAATGTGATGTGTCTATCACTGCTGTCGATCGAGGACACCAAAATTGCATTTATAATTGGATTTATTCATTCAATCTTTATTTAGACAGGTAAATCCCATTGAGCCTCGAGGACTCATTTACAAGAGACCTGATTTCAACAAAGAAAGATGAAAAAATGATATGATAACAGGTTTCCTGCTTTTGGGAATTGTCTGGTTCCTGGTTTATCTACACACAAAGAAGATGGCTGCAGCTAATCTGACCTGGTCAGGCTGCCGCCCATGGTTTGCGCTGTGTCTCGAGCACCCAGACTCAATTGCTTAGCGGATTGGATCGCAAATTGGATGTGATTTATGAGAATCGCAGGCCAGATGCGGCCCCTAGGACTCGCTGGCAGGATGGATCAAACCTCAGGGAATATTCTCAGGCACGGACCAGTGGTGTGTCTACTTAACTTGGATGTTTCAGCATCTATGTGAGACCAGCAAAGACTCAAGGCAGATAAAATTCAGTAAAGTTTTGCCTGTCTCCAAAACAAACGTTTATCTGAATTTGGCTTCCTCAGCTGGCCTTGCAGGCCATCTTATCCAGGGCTTAATTTGTAAACTGGAGTCCGTGGGTCCTCTCATAGAAAATTTTGATCAACAGAGTTGCCATTTTCTGCATTTTGGTGTATTTTAACAGGTTGTTATACATCAACATTTACCTACATTTGTAAACACTTAATAAAATTACTATTTTGGAGAAGAACAGCAGGTTGTGTGTGAATAGAGCAACCCTGATTCTGTCAGATGTTCTAAACCCCCCTCCTCCCTCCCCTCACTTCATGGTTGTGAGCTGAACCCCTCTCTGCTGAATTCAGTCCTCTTGCTCCAGTCTCGTGGCACCGTTTGAAGCACCTGAAGGCTTCAATTCTCGGTTCTCAGATTTCCACTTTCAAAAACCTATAATGCAACTTTAAAACAGATTCCCAGCCGGTTTTCACACCTGATGGGAACAGAGGGGCCTCGTCTGTGAATTAGAGGAACAAAAGACTCTTACTGTTAATGTTTGTTTAGGTGTGAATTGCCAATCTACATATATGTGTGTGTGTGTGTGTGTCTTATCTCACTCAGTCTTATAACCTGTATCTCTCACTCTCTGCTCTTTGAATTGAGAAAGCTCCTCGGATGAGGAGCGAAACGTCTTCTGTTACAAATAAAGTCCAGTTGTTTTTGTATTGAATGCTTTTTGAATTCATCATGTCCTGGATGACTGAGAATCTTCACCAGCACTTACACTTACTATTTAGTTAGCAGTTAACCAGACATACTTGTTTTTAGTATGTGAGAGGAAACTGAAGTGCCAAGAGAAAATCCATGCAATCACAGAGACAACACATGAACTCCACATAGAAGGACCCCATCCAGGAGGTGAACCTGCAACCTTCTGGTTATGAGATGATATCTCTAACTACTGCTCCGCTGTGCTGCCCTACCTCTAAAACACTGATATTGAAACGTCATCTTGCTTCACAGCCCGACTTTTGTTTTAATCAATCATGTTGCAGGTAGGCGGCACGGTGGCTCAGTTGGTAAAGCTGTTGCCTCTCAGCGAGAAGGTCACAGGTTCAAATTCCAGCCCGGGGCCTTTCTCGGTGGAGTTTGCATGTTCTCTCTGTGCATGCGTGGGTTTTCTCCAGGTACTCCAGTTTCCTCCCACAGATCAAAAACATGCATGTTAGACTGACTGGTAACTCTAAATTGTCTCTAGGTGAGTGAGAGAGAGTGAATGGTTGTTTGTCTTATTTGTGTCCCTGTGATGGACTGGAGACCCATCCTGAGTCTCCCCGGCCGATAGCTGGACATGAGTACCAGTGACCTCCCCCCCCCAACCCCCCCCCCCCCCCCCCCCCCCCCCCCCCCCACAACCCAAAAAGGAAGAAGCGGGTAAAGATCATGGATGTTTCAAGTAAATGTCACAAAACAACACATTTTATCAGGACAATGAATTTCAAAATGTTAACATTTTTATGAGTAGACAAAAAAATTCAGAATAACAATTCAACTGCCTATAACTGGATATATTGCTCCTGTGTTGGACCTGTAATCAACATCTCTGAATCACTTGGAAGTTTGTGGCTGTTATACTGTGATCACATCTGTCCACTGGATGTCAGGATCACATCTGTCCACTGGATGTCAGGGTCTGTCTTCAGCCTCTTAAGCTTGAAGTTTTGGGGGATACCATTAGGAAGAAGACTCAAAAGGCTTTATCTACCATCTGTTAAGTAGCAAAATAATTGCAAAGGATCTGTCTTGTTTCTATTATGTCCTGATACATGCTCAATAATCCAGTTAGATAAATCTAACAAGGTTAAGTCAGGTCTGCAGGACAGATACAGAGAACCTGACTTAACCTTTTTTATATTATAATGAATTTTATTTCTGGCTTGTCCTACCTGGCCCAGGACATGGCTCTCTCCTCAGCTTCGCTCTCAGGTAAGTGGTCTCCTACAAAGCTGAACACCTGCAGTCTGTAAGAACGCTGATGTCCCCACCGATTGGTTTTGTTGCTGGCAATGTGAAGATAGCGAGGTGTCTTGGTATCATAGCGTAGTGCAGCCTCCTGTGGAGATGTTAGAGCAAGTCTCACAGTCAAGATTCCAGATGTAACAAAAGGCCCCTAATCGTCTGAAAACTGACTGTGGCGAAAGGCGACTGAGATGCAGACAAATGAGTCAACGGTTTCCAGCTAATGATTACTGCTGTTATTCAACTCTCAACGTGCAGCTTTGACATTTATGGCAATGGATACGAATTTACTTTCAAGATTCTTTTAAAAATTGTTATTCTGTGTGCATTGCACTATTTTTGAGGCACTTTGCTCTGTAAAATATATACGAATGAAAAAAATTAATTAAATTTAATTCAGTTCAAAATTCAAGGATTTGTATTGTCATTCACATCACATGTGGTACATGAGGTGGAACAAAACTATGTACATAGGGTCCCAGTTACATCCAACAAAAATACAAATTGTAAAGAAAAACAGTAGTAAGATGTGAGACATGAGCTAAGAATATACTCCATTCACTAAACTAAGAACACACTAAGCACTAATGGTACAAAAACAATGCGCCAAAACAACAGCAGCACGAACATGAGTCTGTGTGAGCGGGTGAGGACGAATGAACACAGCAACAGTTCATTGTTATAGCACAACTTCACAACAAAACTAATCTCAGGGCACTGTACAAAAACATTCACAAAATGCCAATATGTAAAAATTGTTTTTCTAAAGAAGCCAGCAGACTGGGAAGAAAGATAAAAAAAACACTTTAATGATAAAAACAATTATAAACACAAACATAAAGTGTAGAGTGAGTAAAGACAAGAGCAGAGTGAGGAAACGTGGTCAGTTTGTCTTCCAGCATATAGCAGCAAAACTAAAGGATAGATCAGGAAACTCAAACCAAACAGACATAAAGTTAAAAAAAAAGTCTACTGGTAATGTTGTTTTTAATTTAATTTCTCTACAAACACAAACAGTGCCGACGTGACGCTGTGTGTTAAGGTCCATTAATGTTAAAATGTCTTTAAACCCCACAGCTGAATTTACACAAACTTGGTGAGAAACATGGAATTAAAGTAAGGAAATATAGAATATAGATGAAATATTGCTTTATTCTACACTAGTGTACACTTTTTTGCACACTGGTGGTGTGTGTGTGTGTGCCCCCCCCACCCCACCCCAACACACACACACACACACACATCACAGATACTTCTGATGCCAATGTCTGAATGAGTTGAAGAGACAAATGTTGAGTTCACATTCCCAAATGTTCCACCAAGATGGAACTCTTGTTCTGAACTGGGTTCTAACCCTCCAGTACCTGCTCCTCATAGGAGTAAACGAGTAAATGCATTAACTCACTCAAATCCACATCATGACCCCAGATCAGTTTTAGACTCTGAACCTGTGAGTCCTAGTTTTATCTCACTCTGATTTGATTTGATCACACACTGACTTGTCACCGAGGACGTCGACAGTTCAGCAGGGGAGGATGTAACCAGGTGGAGGAAAGCTATTTGTCAAAAACGGATTTAAATACCTTCCCTGTTGTAGTCATGCAGTAATAAAATTTGGCCAGCAGAGGGCATGCTTCATCTATCTTAGTAAAAGATGAACTTCCTTCTTGATGGATAAAACTAGAGACTGGAAGTTCAGGAGAATGAGCCGGAGACAAGAAATGGTTGTGTAGCGCCTCAGTTGATTTATGGTTGTCCATCCTTAATCATCACGATAATAAACAACCATAAGGTCTAAAATATATCTAAATCCATGTTTTGAATTAATTTTAGACGTTAGTAATGGCAGCATCTTACATGTGCTTACTGGCACGTGGACAGCGTGTTCTGGTAGGAGATGTGAATTTATGTTTGTTATTTAAGTTTAATTTATTTTGTTAATTTTGCTCATCATTTTGTGTGTTGGATTTAAGAATGAGATTAATTGTAATGGTAGATTAGCAGTTTGTGCTAAGAGTGTTATGCGGCAAAGTGGTGACTTTTCTTTTCTTTTTCAATTTTGTATTTTCCAATAAGTGCCACTGCCTCATTTATTTATTTATTTACTTATTTATACATATTACTGGCAAGTAAACTGGAAACAAAGAACCCACATTAAAAAAATGTAGTCATTTAACACTGACGTCATTAGTATAGTTATTAAAGTTACAGCGGTCTCTCTGTCTCTGCTCCTCACTCAAAAAACTGCTGACATCCTTATCAGTCCTGATCAGACAGAGGACTGATGTGATCAGTCCTGTCTTCTTAACTGCAGCTCAAAGTGACCGTCAGATACATGAAGAGCTGAGAAGATTGCTCTGTAGAAAACATTATTTCTTTTTAACAGCATGCATCTTGATATCCTGATGCATGAGCATGCATCAGGATATTTTTAACAGCAGCTACAACTTTTGTTCTTCCTCTGATTTAATTTCTAAAAACCTTGCACACAGTCCATACAGCTACCTTCATGTTCTAATGTTCAATTTCTAACCAGCGGCGCCGAGCCACGCTGCGTATGTGCTAATGACCGGAGGAAGAAAAAAAATAGGATTTTTGAGTGTTAACCAGCAAGTCACCAATTTTGGCCTGTCTGGATGAAAATGGTCGGGTACCGATCTCAAGCTGATGTTTCCATGAATCTCTTGATTCTCTGTTCATACTGAAGCTTGAAGACCGTGTCCAACGTGTTCAAATCAGTCACGATATAGTTAATATATTTAATGTATATTACTGTTAAAACGTGCTGAAGTGCAGAGTAGAACATTTTATGACTAGCTATGTCAATTTTAATTTTTAAAATATATATATATATTTTTTATAGCACATGTAAAAAGTAATCAGTCTGACGTCACGTGCGCTGCTGGATGGTAGCACTGACGGAAGCTCCGCTTTGACTCAACTTTTTTTTTTTTTTGACTTAACTTTTTTTGCACCTACAATGCACACCCATGGTACTGGTATGACCACGACACACTCGTGGAGTTTTGTGTGTTGCTGCTGCCATCATGCCATCATGGTTCAGTTCCTGGCCCCCCATCTCAATGATCCTCCATCTGCCTGCACAGACCGAACTCTACGGACCTGTTCGGCTGCATGAGGAAATCATTGGATGTTCTCTGTCTACTAGACCTGGTTCTGGAGTACGGTCTGTGAGGGCAGCAGCTGCCCTCACAGACATTATTATCATCAAGCTGCTGACCGGACCTGCAAACAAGACCTGCTAACAAGACCTGCTAATGCTGCTAACAAGACCTGCTAACACTGCTAACAAGACCTGCTAACAAGACCTGCTAACGCTGCTAACAAGACTTGCTAACGCTGCTCACAAGACCTGCTAATGCTACTAACAAGACCTGCTAACAAGACCTGCTAACAAGACCTACTAATGCTGCTAACAAGACCTGCTAACAAGACTTGCTAACGCTGCTCACAAGACCTGCTAATGCTACTAACAAGACCTGCTAACAAGACCTGCTAATGCTGCTAACAAGACCTGCTAACAAGACCTGCTAATGCTGCTAAGAAGACCAAGACCTGCTAACAAGACCTGCTAACGCTGCTCACAAGACCTGCTAACAAGACCTGCTAACAAAACCTGCTAACAAGACCTACTAACGCTGCTCACAAGACCTGCTAACAAGACCTGCTAACAAGACCTGCTAACGCTGCTCACAAGACCT